TTTATGACTGACCCTTGAAGTTCTGGCCATTGCAGCGCCTTCAAAGATGAACAAAATTTGTACATACTTGGACTCATCCACATTTATGACTGCCTTTTGGCTGCCTGCCTACCCACTCCCACCAGCCACCCCTGCTGCCCAGTCCTGCCCACCATGTCCGCCACACCACATGCCTCTACAATACCAGTCAGGGGCTTCTTGTGTGCCTTTTTTTGTACTAGTGGTGCTTGGTTTTTTTGTGCTAGTGCTTGCTAGGGTTTCTGTTCATACACCAGCCAGGACTTACTTTCGTGAAATCTCATGCCAGTGCAGCTAGTGCCTTCTTTGACATGGCTTCCTTTTTTTTAAAGAAGGAACACCAGTACGGTACAGTAATGGCATGTGGGAACAAGATAGGTGGGTTGGGGGAGTTCAAGAGGAGGCAGCCCCTCACTTTACCAAAGCTTACGTTTGGGAGAGACCAAGCCAGAAATAGTTTGAATTGGAGTGGTTCCTCAGCTAACTACTAGTGGGATTTGGTTAATGATGACAACAGGGACTATTTGGATTGCTATCGCTAAACCCTAAACTTTTTCTAAACTTTACTGATATTTTGTAAACTGCCTTGTCTTGCACCGCATCTGAATTTATTTTTTGTTTGTTTTAATAGCTTGTGTACAGTGGATATAGCAAAGAAACACTCAAGCAAAGGGAACTTCAGCTAAGTGTACTCAGTGCTGAATCTCTGCGTGAAAACTTTTTCCTGGGTGGGATCACTCTTTCTTTAAAGGATTTTAACTTAAGCAAGGAGACTGTGAACTGGTACAGGCTTGCTGCTGCACCATATTTGTGAACCTGACAACTTACAGAGCTGAAGATATGACCTAAATAATCTTAACTCCATTTGTATATGATCACTTTTCTCTACTTGAAGATAATCCGTACATTTTAGTTTGAAACACTGCAATTTGGTGGATTGTAGTTGGACCAGCCTTTGCAGAACTTTACACAAGACTTCTGGCAAGTCATCTGCTTTGTGCTTTTATGCAATATAAGCATTGATGTATATGAATTGTATAAATGTAATAAGTTGTTATAAATGCAGTTCTGAATATGAAGAAATGTTTCAAATTCAATCTGAGGGGGTTATCCTGAATTATTTCAATCCCGTTTGAATTGTTTGCCTTATATACTGCAAACTTTTATAATTCTCTTTATAATTTATAATTATGAAGACTTTATAATTCTGCTCTCAGCACATACAGCAGCACAGTTTAAAAAATGATCATGACAAAATTATTTTTCAGTCTGTTAAAAGGGAGGCCCAAATAGAAGGATAGAAATTCAGTGTAGCATTTAGCCTTATGACTTGTAAAGCTTCTTAGAGGCAATTATTAGAATGAGTGCCAATAATTGAAATTAAATTATAAATAATGGTGCCTTATTTTGTTGCTTATACCTCATTTCTAATATTTAAAACATTTTCCAATGCTAAAAGTTAAACTTGCTAAAAAAAATGCTTATGTGGTTCATCGTATACATTCTTTAACATTTCTCCTTTCAATTTAGATCCACTTTAGGTTAGATTCATTAAAAAAAAACTTACCAGGTTGTTGAGCTACAAATATTGTATAAATGCAGATGCAATTGATTTTCCACCATGGTTTGCTATAAAGCACATGCATTTTTCCTTTAGGTAGATATATGGACTATTCAACAGTAATTTTGAATTTCAAAGTAGAAGTCCTACAAAGCACAATTTCTATTATATATGAATTAAAAATATGCATACTATAGAAAAAGGTCAAGTATAAATTGCACTAGCTATTGTATAGTGAAGTTGACACAGTGACCATTGGAGTTAACATTTAGATTTTTTTCATGAGTAGTAAGGGAATAATCCACAAAGCATTTTATTTCAATTAAAACTGATTTGCCATTAGTAAAGATAATAAAAGATACTATGTATGAGGTATGGTAGATTGTATTTCAAATTCATTTCTTTAATTTGTATCCAGCTAATTTGTAACACTTGGAGAAAGCTGGGTATAATTGCAATATACTAAACCCAATATTTTGTTTTTTTTAAAAAGCATTCCACAGAATGGTTAATGTTGAAACCCAAATACTTTAGAACAAAAATACAGACCGCTGAATTTAAAGCAAAATAAATAAATAAATAAAAATGGGATGATGACTTATACGATAGACTGTGTGACAATCTATTGCAGGCAGTTAAATGAAAGTATGATATTAAATGGTTGTTAACTGAGGTGCTAAAATGTTCATAATCGACTGTAAAATAAATTTTGGGATTCCTCAGTGTTAAAACTGCATTGTGATTAATAGAAGCTACTTAACATTTTTAGAAGAGTTTGTTAGTTATATGTTAAACATCTAAGTTGTAAGCTATAGATTAAAAATAACTAGATTGTATTTCCTGCTCACTTGATGCTTTTTGAGATGTATTCCATTCCATCAACAAAACCACAAGTCATATAAACACAGGGAAGTAGGCTACTGTTTTTGTGAAACATTGCATTAGATTAACTATAAAGCAATAAATATATACTGCTTTTTTGCAGTCTGCAACTACAGCACAGTGTATCACAGCACAAATCTAGAGATTTTTTAAAAAACCCTTTAATGACGGTTGTTTGCAGCTGCAGTTCTTGTCTGGATGTTAGAATATATGCTGCACCTTATGTAGTATTGCCATTATTACATCTTGTGCCTTTGCCCACCATCACCATTTCTCAAAATAACTCCACAATGAATAAAGCTCTTCAGGTATTTTTCAGTTATCATTAAACATGTAAAGAAACAACATTAATTTTGCATCTCTTTCAAATTATTTATATTTGTGTGATACACAAAACTTTTTTTTTAAATAATACAAATATTTAAGCTGATATACAAAAGGGTAAGAGGGAATAATCACAATCAGATGTAACACTTTACTAAGGAATGTTTTTAAAATGTGGTCTCATGGCATTTTTATACTTTGCAAATGAAATTAAATCCTATGCATCAAATGTGGACTGCAGCTAGAAGTCAGTTTGTGTCTGTACATCTACTTCATTTTGAGGAAAACATCTTACTTTAAGAAAAACAACCTCCATATTTTCTGTACTAAATAATTAGTTATGACTTTGCACTGAAAATTTTTATACTGCCTTTTTATGACCTATACATATATATAAAAAGCATGGGAGATCTGTGGTATTTCTCTATTTTTAAAATTTTAAATGATCCAGAAATGTTAGTATCTTGCCTTAAATTTAACTCTTTTTTCCAGGATACAATTAGCTTTTAAACTGAAGAAATATTTCTAGAATCTGCAAAATATTGTTCACTGTGTAATATGGATTTAATTGGTAAACTTATGTTCATTGGTATCAGTAGGCTAAAGTTTAAAGCTTCCATATGTGGAAAAAATTACACCATTCTCAGAATCTATAGGAATTTAATAATCTCTGTGTGGTATTCTCAGTACTGTGATTAACAATTTGGCAAAGATTTATAAATAATAAAATACATTATAAGTAAATGTGGATGTTTGCCTTCAATTGTTTCTTTATCTGTAAGAACCAAATACTTCAGTTATATTACACTGATAGCTAATAAAGATGTACATTATTTCTAAGCCTAAGCCCAAAATATTTGGGTTAAATGTGACTCCATAACTGTCTACAATTACATTAAATGCTATTTAATTAAAACATTGTGCCTCTTTTTTTCTAAATTCACTAATTTGTATGTGTGGATCAAGAAACCTAAGTGCAAAAGTTTCAATCAGATCTATTCCATTGAGTATTTTTAAGAAAGTTGCTTCAAATATTAACTATTTATGTTGCCTCTCTGTTCTTTTCTTACACCTAAATCTGTGATCTACTATTCAGTAGTAGACCATATATTCTAAGTGAAATCTCATGTACTTGGACAAGATTAAATCATTTTGAGAATTACTGCCAAAATCACTGGAATGTCCAGTGTGGTTTCCTACCTTTAATATTTTCAGCTAAGAAATACTAAATGGGAAGATAAAGGAAAATACGCTAACCTACTATACCATCTTTATTTCCAGTAATTCTTGCAGGTCCTTTTAAATTTCTTAAAAAGATAAAAATATAGAACTGCTCCAGTACATTTTTTTTTTATTTTTTTCCCCCTACCTATGTTGAGAAAGGTCAATTAAAGAATGGTAGGGAGCATTCTTCAATGCTAGAGAATATAACAGAGTAGCCTAACTGATTTGCCATTGAGTTAAAATGTCATGACTGCTGTTCTTTCCCCTCACTGCAGCCATTTGGTGGAGCGACCATTATATATCCCCCTGGGCCTAGGCCTAGACCACAGGTTCCTAATCTTTTTGCCATTACGCCTTTCTTTAGTATAATCTTAATGTACACAACTTCCCCTAAACACCCAAAACACCAAAATGAAGACAAATGAGCAATGAAAAAAATACAATGTAACTTTGGGAACGATGTATTTACTGTAGTAATGTACAATTAAAAGGTTCTTTATATCTTCGCTAGACCCCGGGAGGAAAGTACACCTTACAATGGGGAAACCTTAAAGGACTTGTTGCAATGTTATTTGATCCTTTTAGACATCATATTTTAGGGGTGGAAGTGGCCAACTGCTGTTCTTTACGCACAAAGTAAAATTGTAAAGTTGGGAACTTTTTAAAAGATTTACAGATATCTGAAGAGCCAATCTTAAGATACACGTTATGGTTAATATGGGGCAATTAGCCCCACGATGCGATGGTAGGCGGCAGTCGAGGAGCTTTTTCTTACAACCAAGTTACATGATAAGAAACTACAAATATTTTGCCGCTACCATTTACGCTTCAGACACTCTCTCTCTCTCTCTCTCTCTCTCTCTCTCTCACACACACACACACACACACATACAAGTCCCTCAACTAGAAAGACTAAGAAAGGCGTGCCGGGAGATGTAGTTTATCAACAGGCGGAAGAACCACTCTGAATGCCGCACTGAAACCGGAAGTCTTTTCGTTCTGCCTGTAATGTCATTTCCGGCGGAAAGAAAGCTTGACTGCAAGGCTGCCTTTCTTGCTTCTTTCTTTTCGGCGCCATCATGGGTCGCATGCACGCACCCGGGTGAGTTGGCCGAGGCTGAGGCTTTGGCGTGAGGAGGTCCGAGGAGGACTGGCGGGAATGGTCGCGATTTCCTCTGGTCGTAGTTTTGTGATCTATTTCAGGAGCGTTTCCTTCGCTTCTGTTATGGAGGGGTGGGTCGGCCTTTGCTTAGAGGCCGAGTTCGTCGAGCACGGCGGGACTGGCGGCTTCCTCGGTAATCCAATAGAGTCGCAGAGGAGAGGCGCAGTTTAGCGCGCTCGCGCTCGTGCCTTGTTTTCAATGAAACATCCGGGCATCTCTTAACAAAAGTCTCGGGAGGCGCCGCTTGGAGACGGGAAAATATGTGTGAAAATTGGAGGCCGCCGTGCCTCGTGGATTCCCTATACTGGTGCAACGTTTTCATTACATCGCTCGGATAAAATCAAACAGCTATGCAGCTGTTGTAATTCTGAAAGTTTGGCTTCTAGATTCACTGACAGGGTTGATAATGATTTACGTGCTGGCAATTCTAGATCACTACGGTATCAAGCTGGTTAGTATCCTATAGCGAACTGTACTTGTCACATTTTCTAAAATATGCTATCTTTGACTTCTCTTTCAACAGAAAGGGTCTGTCCCAGTCGGCCTTGCCTTACAGGAGAAGCGTGCCTACAGTAAGTAGTTATTCAGCCCGCTTGGGACTTGATTAAAAAGCATCCAGCTTGCAAAGTGAAGGATGCAAAATGTTTGTAAACATCCCACAGGCTAAATTATTTTAAATTTATTTCCTACAATGGTATTTTGATTTAACAGTTAAGAAATAAAATACCAATCTTGCAGTTAATTAGGAAAGATCTTAATATATATCCTACCTATTTCTTAAGACTTATTGCTGAGTTAAAAAGCTTTAAAATGAGAACATAAATACTGATCCTCTCAAAGTGATCTGTTACATGTTAAATTTTGAATAATTGCTGAAAATCTAATACTTTAGCATTATGTCTGAATGGGACATAACTTTATAATTTTATGAATGACTGGTGATGTGCAGTTAGTTCACAGGGTGAAATAAGTTGGGTTGTAGTCACCGTGAGTTTGTGCTGAGGGGGGGCACAGAGGGAAGCTCAGCCAATTTCACCGTATACATGTTATACTTTGATAATAAAGGGTTTATTATTTATTTATTTATTAACATAATGCTCAAGCAGTTCCAAGCTCCAAGACAATTATATTCATGAGAAAATTAAAAAAAAAACTTGTTACTCTAAGCAGTTTTGCTAGCCTAAGGAATTACTTGAGATACAACCTTCTTTTTGTAGTTTTAATTCATGGTGGTATATGTACAAGTGTCATACATGCAGCTTAGTTTAGTTACAGTCAAAGGCATTAATTTGGGGGAAAACAATATTTAACTGACCAGAAGACTATATAGCATTGCAGTTTCATTAAAGTGTTATGAAGTTATACTTGTATTTTTTTCAGGGTTAAGTCTATTACTTCTAAAACCACAGTATGAAGAAATCAAAAACTGTGTAATTTCAAGTCATCCTACTTTTATTTTTCTTTTGGCAGCTATAATTGTGTGTGAAGATGTAGCAAGTGGCACTTTAATGCTTTTTTCCTTACATAATTCTTTTTACCAAGAGCGTTTTAGTTTTAGTTTTTTATTTTTGCAATTTGAAATAGCAGAATTATTTATTACATGTTCTGTGTTGGGTGATTGCTATCTAATATATCTGAACTTGAATGGCTGACATTTGAACTTTTTTTAGTGGCTGAAACTTACTTCTGATGATGTTAAAGAGCAGATCTACAAGTTGGCAAAGAAAGGCTTGACACCTTCCCAAATTGGTATGTTGAAATAAAATGCTGTGCTAATAGTAACTAATAATATATACATGAGGGCATGTATATTGGTTCCTAGTTATAATTCTCTTAGAGTCAGGCAGCCAAATAATTCATCTTATTGATTTGGTTTACCTTGATAAAATTCCCTTGGTTTATTGGCTGGCTAGTTCGTTTATTGGCTATTCATAGTTTTAAGTATTTGTAACACTACTGTTCTGTGAGCTGTATTGGTTGCTAGTCTGCTTCCGGGTGTAATCCAGGATGTTGGCGAACACCTTTAAAGTCCTTCATGGCATAGGTCCAGGTTATTTGAGGGACCATCTTATCCCACTGGGATTGGCCCATCACACTCATGCCAGCAGAGGAGGCATGCTGTGGGTCCCATCAGCACGATTATTCCAATCAACGGGTGCAGGAGGAGGGCCTTCTCTGCCTTTGTTCCTGCCCTCTGGAACATCTCTCCACTCCGTGTAAGATTGGCCCCAATCTCCTATCCTTTTGTAAGGGCCTAAAGATGGGGCTGTGCTAATTAGCCTGGAGCTCCAATGGGAGGACAGCACAGTGAAGATGGTTAATGGAGTAACAACAGATCCCACCTTGTCCCATTTCACCCTTTCCCCACGTGTCCTTTATTTTAATCTCTGGTTTTAATTTATTCAGGTTTTAATGTAGATATATTTTATGTCTGTAAGCCACTAATAAATGTATGCATACATACATAAATACATACATACATAAACACATACATACATAAACTTTATACACTGAAACACACACATCCCAAATGCTTTATTGGTTGCAGGGGGTATAAACTGGTATTTTATCCAGTCAAATAAGATATTTTTCCTTCAATAAAATTCTGATGATTAATATAATTGACATCTTAGACCCTACTTTTATTTAAGCTATTACTGAATTGATTAATGCCTTCAAATATAATTGCTGCTGCTAAAATTGTACATTTTATAGCTTTTACTGGACTGCCTTACAATGCAGGCTGTAAGCTATCTTTTGCGGTCCTACAGAAATCTTTATGGTAGCTATAAAACTGCAGTACTTCCAAAAGTGCTTTATTTGGTTTCAGGTGTAATACTAAGGGACTCGCATGGGGTTGCCCAAGTTCGTTTTGTGACTGGTAACAAAATTCTGAGGATTCTTAAATCCAAGGGACTTGCCCCTGATCTCCCAGAAGATCTTTACCACTTAATCAAGAAAGCAGTTGCTGTCCGCAAGCATCTTGAGAGGAACCGCAAGGTAAAGTAGCAGAATACATTCCATCCTCAAAATTTGAAAATGGAACCTACAATTATTCTAGAATGGTGGTTTACTTTTGAGAAGGTAGTACCATTACAGTAAATAAAATACAATTACATTAAATGCTGGATTGTATCTAAGATCCTGGTGCTAGTGAAATAGGCACCATTGAAACATACTGGGCCAGTTCCGTTTTGTAACAGTTGTTGAATCAGCAGTGATTCCAGAAGAGCCTTTGGGGGGCGGGGGGGGGGCGGGACTGGAGCATACCTGCAGATATTGGCACTATATGTAATCCTCCACACATGCCCACCAAAATCTTCAGAGCTAGGTTTTTGGTTAAGCAGGAGCAGGTGCGGACCAAGTGAATGTAGTGCCTCGGAGTTTTTTAGAGCTTAACTGAGAACTGCTGCCATAAAAATAAAAGTGGTTCTTACTAAGCAGCAAGTTTAATGTCCTCTCCTGATGATCCCATGGCCTTCGGTTGATTGGCAGCACACAGAGGCCTTTATAGAACAAGCATAGGTAAAACTTAGTTCAAAGTTTACCCTTAGTTCAAAGTTTGGTCAAAGGCAATGATGAAGTCCAGAGCTGAGGAGAGAGATTTAAGGACCAAATGTATCCTGCAAAACAGCAGGAAGCCCCCCCCCCCAAAAAAGTATATTGCTATTCATGTATTTCTTGCAGAAGTGTTAAACAGAGCTACCTATAAAGATATCAATCCAAAAACAAAACAAAAACAAAAAAACCATCAGATTGCTCAGGGAGTAATTAATAATTTAAAAACAATAGCAATACAAAGAAATTGGAAAAATGTTTTTAAAATGCCAATTTTTTTAATAGTGTGGCTTAATCTTATAGAGAATATTGAAGTTACTTTTTGCTTTTTTTTCCCTCTTTTTATTTATTTGTGGGATTTCTCATGTGGCTTTTTTTTACCATCCTCATTGTTACCTGAAATTGAGCAGGGATTTGTTTATTATTTTTTTTTTTTGTCCTTGCACTAGATAGTTAATGCTGTTTGAAACTTTTGGAGGTGGGTGGGGAGGGACTCGTAAAAGATGCTAACTGGTTAGGGAATTGGAATAGCACTTTTCCTCATGTGAACTGTAAAACAAATGTGTGGTTTTGTATAAAAACTAGTTTGTACAATATACAGTTCTTGTTGCTGGGATCCCCAGATCCTTTTGCAATCTGAAAGCTGTGAAGATCATACCACAGAGAGCTGTCAGAGAGATCTGTTTGTGCATGTGTGTATGTAGGCACGTGCATGTATTTCTTTTTCTTTTTGAAATGTCATTTTTCTTATCTGCAGCCTTTTTCAATAAACTGTACACCTGGGGAAAAAAAGAAACATACTATATTTTCTGTAGATCTGCTCTGGTGAATTAGGAGAAAGGAAATAAGCACAATGATTGGTTAGGAGTACTGCATTATTCAAAGAAAATACAAAACAGATTTTTCCTAGGCTGCCTCTCAAAATAGTATTTTAAAATGTTTTGTTTTTGTTGGAAGGATAAAGATGCCAAATTCCGTCTTATTTTGATTGAGAGCAGAATTCATAGGCTGGCTCGTTACTACAAGACCAAGAGAGTACTCCCACCTAATTGGAAGTAGTAAGTATATTTTGCTGTCAGTCATATGGCTATATATTGTTTAATGTTGGCAGCAGTTTTCTGTTCCTCTGCTTAATGTTATAGATGTTATATTTATGTAAGGAATGCTATTATAAAGTGAAGCAATTTTTGGAATGTAAGCACAGCAGTGGCTTTTCTGAAATACTTCCTAACTATTCTGTATGTAAGTCTGTTGGTTGTAATGAATACATTTGGGTGCATTAAGATACACTCAGTTTGTACGTGTTCAGATATTGCTGCTATTTGTACTGTGGAAAAGTATAGCAGATGAATATTGGGAGAAAATGATAATTAGTATTAATCCCATTAATATGACTACTGAGTTTTGCTTCAGTTTTTTTTTTTACATTTAAGTCCAGTTCCAGGTTGCTCACTGTGATGACAGTTTTCCAACCATTCGCAGTTTCCACCAGAAGGGTTTTTCCTTTGTGTTGGCTAGTCCTTCCTTGGATGTCTGAGTGAGCTGCTGTAGATGATAAATTTAAGTGTAGTCTTATTGATGCCACAAGATGTCATTTTGATGAAGTTGCTAAATTGTTCTTCTCTTCTTCTGCAGCGAATCATCCACTGCTTCTGCTCTGGTTGCGTAAAAATTCTTATTACGACCATGGGAATCTAAACCATCTTGTAATCGTGTTATGCCTACTTCAGAGCGATGCCGTTGCTTATTTAAAATTGGAAGGACAAGTTAACATGTTTACTACATCAATAAAAGTGTCTGGATTTTTTTCCACTTGATAATATAATTTGAGTCCTTTAAAACTGCTGTTATCCTGCAAATATTTTTGGTTTCATATAAATTTACTAAAGGTTCTTAAAAACCATGTCCACATTGAGTGTTGTATTGAAATTTTTCCTATCAAATATTGTGCTGTCTGGGAGACAGCATTAATGAAAATGGAAGGCTTGAAGTTGCTTCAGGCTAAAATCAGAAGTGCTTATATTTCTCAGTTATATTTGTTTTCAGTTAGAGTAAATGGTTTTTGATGAAGGAATATCTGTATAGAAGGACCAATCTCAAAATGCTTCTTTGCCCATATTGGGAGTTGGGGAAAATGGGCTTTTATAGGCTGAAAGTTAATTCTTTCAAAACAAGAATTATATGAATAGATTTTTCATTTAATTTGGAAAAAGTGGATTTTCCATTTGATTAAGAATACAGCTATGGTAATGGAAATAAGGGCCACTTATCTTTACCCCCCCCCCTTTTTCTGGCTTTTAATGAAAACAAGAGAAACGTTTACCAATCAATTAGCTTTCAGATGAACTAGTAAAACTAATCTAATTGTTTTTAAGAGTAAATATACTAGTGTTATGAACCTACAGAATAGCTAGCAAGGCAGAATCAGGCTATTGAATTATATAGGAAAAGGATAGAAATGCCTTATGTGAGGTTTTCAGATCTTTTGCCAATGTAACTATTTTCTGTTTTGAGCCCTTAAACAACATTCCACAGGTCTCTGCCCCTGCTTAAAACATCACTGGTAGCTGTTGTATGGGATACAACAATATCCAATAAGGTATCAACTCAATTTAGGGGAACAATAAGATGTTTTCTGTGTGTGTGAGACTGCTAGGGTCTTTTCTATTCTTGTAGAAGATACAGTGGGCAGTACTATAATGCCCTTTTATTAAATTGAATAATATCATCTGAATGTTTTTCTTCCAACTATATAAAATTGATGGAGATCTGGAAAATAAATAATTTTGAATAGAGCTTCAGCACGTTTGCCAAGTGTAGGTGTGGAGAGAAAACTAAGATGTTTTTCGTTTTTCTCAGAGATAGGATTCACTCTTGTTTCTCGAGCACATAGATCAAATAACTATCTTAGTTTTAAGGTAGATCAATAAATCTTCTAGCATGTGCTTAACCTAATAAAATATACTGCTTAGTATGTGTTCAAAAGAAATTTTATAAACTGCCAGAAACTATTCTTACGAGCATAGTCATTGTGTGTATCTAAATTTGCCCCTCAAGCCAAATATGGTCATGACGTTTTCCAGGTTTTCCTAATGTCGTTAAGTTTATCTTTAGCAATTCAGAAATTGTCATTGAAAGCTTTTATATATCTCCCCATCATCAAAGTTTATAATTTCTAGGAAGCACATTTGTTACACAGTCTTGGCTTCACAGCATTTAATGTCTCAAGCTTTTTACCATATTCAATTCTATTAAGTTGTAAATACTACTCAGTATATATTATAATTAGCTCTGCACAGTTATGGAAACAATCACTTTAGAATAGTTTGCCATACTGTTAAAATCATTTGCGGTAAGCTTAGCTGAATTGGACATGGATTAAGGAAAAAGCCCTGTAGTCAGCAGAATAAAAGAATTTTAATTGGATGAGCTAACCTGAAAGAAACAAGGACAAATATAGATGGAGGAAATCTATTGTCACTAAGAGTTGACATCGACTTAATGGCACGTAAATTGTTTGGCACATAATCTTAACCGTTAAGCAATGTCTGCATGGCTCATTTGCTTGTCTCTGCATCACCATGGAGTGAGACTTATAGAGGATTTCATATAGTTCCTTTGGCTTAGAGTTTTTGGTGCTCTCTGAACTTGGTTGTTTGCTTGCAGATGTTTAAGTAACATCTTTGTGAATGTACTTTGTCTACTTTAAGGATTCCCAGGTTAATGTGGAACAATACAATTTGGAATAAAACTTAAATGCTGATTGATCTAGAATCTGAACTTTCCAATCAGTACCACAGTTATTCAGTATAATACTGCTCTATGTCTGAAAGCTTATGACTTTACTTACTTTTCTCAGTCTTATTCAAAAATTTTGTTTGAGCAGCATCTTAAGTTTATTTGGTTATATTTAACAGAAGTTAAAAATGCACATTGCTCAGAAAATATATGGGATGTAAAAATATTTAAGTCACTAATTTTCTCCTTTATAAATTGCATCTTAACTAATCACTTCTACATTTTATCGAGAAGTGTATGCAATAAAATGGCATTTAATAAATGTTTTTGTTTTATTCCACATCAAAATATTAAAAATTGTCCAGTTAGTATGCAAAAATTCTACCATCAGAACCATTAAAAAATACATTCAGACCATTTAAAATTAAATGTGTAAATTATCCTAATTTGTATATAAATTATTATAAAATTGAGATTGTTAACTTCATAAAAGTCAGAATATCCATAGCTATTCTGGACTGGTTGAAGTATTACAACCTTAATTAATTACAACCTTAACCCAATGAAGTATCAGGAAATAATTTAAACAAATACTATTTTTAGATGTGGAAGAAAGAAAAAAATAGTAATAACCTTGAGAAAGTTTTAATAAAGTGCTATTTATTTACCTGGAAGATTAATTGTATGTATACATTCCCAGAAAATACTTGGAATATTAGGTGGCAGTATAGTTTTACAATCTGAACAAGGGATCTAGAATTTGATTTAGACCTAATCCACTGATGTACTATACAAACTTGGCAAAAGTACATACAAACTCTGTAGTTGAATCTTTAAATGCAATGGCATTAATCATTGATCTTCTAATCTAACAATATTTCTTTAAAAGTAATTTAATTGGATTTTTTTTTAACCCCATAGCTTATAAATGCTAATAAAAATTTCAGTGTCTTTGTGCTTTCAAATACCTCCTCCATCCAAGCTGTTCACAACCACTGATTATTCTTCAGATGAGCATGTGTCTCCTTTAATATTCCATATTACAAATGAAACTGGCATTAAAACAAACTAAGAAACAGAACAAGAAAAGGCAATTGGTATACTCACCTTTTGCCAAGTTTGAGTATACATTTATCCCAACAGAAACCTCCCATACTCCTTCCAACACAATAATAAAAAAATGAAAGACAAAAAATAATATTTTTAATATAGCTTTTTTACTGTATAGTAGTTAGGGCTAGCTATTGGGTAAAATGCTTAGTATCATGGAGTGGCCCTTTGGGTCCAACTTCACAATGATACGTGTCTGACCAGGTTCTGTTAGAATGCATGCAGTGGTGCCTGCTACTGTTTCCACAGGCAATTGATTCTGTCATTAGGAAAAAAGCGGCTGTGGAATTTCATTTTTGAACATTATTTCATATTTTGCAGATGTTATGGCCCTCTTGTGTGGTGATAATCCTTTAGATGTTTAAAGAATGGAATCATGTCCTGTGTCTCCCCAGAGTTAGAGATACCCAGTTCATAAATACCTCTTCTTAAGGATGACTTTTTGACCTCCCAGGAGTCTGTACTGCAGCAGTATTTTTATTGACCAGGTCAAATATTTCCTACTGGATCCAGTCTTTTGAGTTTTGCAGAACATGTTTTTCAACAGGCAAAAGTTTAACATATTAACATTAAACAAAATAAGCTACGCTGTCACAACAGAATAAATGGAAAAGCTTTCATTGCTAGCTACAGTTGTTAAAATACTACTGTATACTGAGGAAGAGCCTCTGGGGTTAATGAATTTTAAGTAATTACATGTGGGTAGTGCTCAGAAATATCAGCAGAGGTCACTATGCTTCCAGCAGTCTTCTCTTTGGATGTTGGCCTGGAGCATTTTAGAATGCAAACTGTGCTCAGACTTTTTTCTTTCTTTTCTGCAGCCAATTCTACTTCATGCTGCCAAGGAGTATATTGAAAAAACAGAAGGTGGTGTTTTTGTTTTTTTTAAGCCAGATCAAAGTCCTTGTACTTGTTCTAAATGGCAAAATCCTGGAATTCATTGGCAAACCTGTGAACTGGCTTTCTTTTGCTGCTGTACTTGAGGCTCTGCTGATTTTATTTTAAAACCACATTTATCCTCATTGAAAAAAGGTTGCTGGGCAAAGCTTTGGCATTTCTTTCATTAGCATTATTACAATCCCAGGTTGGAACTATTATTGGCTGCAATAAGTCTATCTTTTCGTGAAACTGGGAGCAAGGATTTCCACAAAGGGCTCTCATTTTAGTGTTTTGAATCCAAAATACTTAGGCCCACTTAACTGCCATTGGAATCAAAAACAGTTGGCTATTAAAAATTGAATTTCAGTGTATTTCAGTGTGACAAAAGGATGTTAAACTTATTGCAATCCTAAACTGGAGGTTAGATGAGAAATTTGGTGAAGGACAAAACCAGATTCCTACCATTTTTTCCTACAATCAGTCAGAGCTTCTTTTTCACTTTTTTTTCTTGTTTTTCTTTCCACTGATCCCAATAAGAGAATTGTAACTTCACCTGGTCCAGCTTGTGTCAAATTTAAGAGTTTCATCCATATAAATTAGTTTTGGTGACTCTGGGGAGCCTCTTGATACAGTGCACTTCTGGAATGGGGCTTTCTGAGTCCTATTAGAGACACGTTCTGCAGGTGTTACATCATGCACAGGAAGCCCTTCATAGAAGTCTGGGAAACAGAATAGCCTGCCACATCATTCCTCTCAGTAAACTTTAGGAAACATTTTTTTAATCTGGATTGTACCCAAATGAGTTCATTCTATATTTAAAAATGGAGCTGACTATGGAAAAATAAAAGGGGAGCTTTCCCATTTTATTTTTTACATTTTAATACTACCCCAAATTGTACGTCTAGCAGACTTCAATTTTTTTTCCCCATTGGAGTTTTTTAAAGAGTTATCTTTAGATCTGGTAAAATATGCACTACAGACTAATTGCACTGAAGAGCCTGCTATACTTAACTTCCTTAGCAATTAAAAAACTAGGCAGGACAATGTATTTGCAAGATATTCCTTCTTGTTTCTGTTTAGAATGTAAGAGCTGGCTGCTTTACTGACATTAATCCGGTAATTTGTTTTAATTTCTTCCAAGAGTTTAACAAGATGCTCCTGAAAAATGGCAAGAATGCCA